GGGTGCCCCCCGGAGGCCAGAGGCGCGGGCAGGAGCTCAGCCTGGCCTTGCAGCCGCCGGGGAGGGAAGCGAGTCCCCACCTGCGGGCTGGAGGCCGGACAGACAGACACACAGCCCTGCGGAGCCAGAGAGGGAGCCGGGCTGAGAGCAGGGGGGGGAAAGACAGGCTCCAGCCCCCTAGGAACAGCCCCCCCAGAGCTGAGCGGAGGGAAGCAGGCGTGGCCGCCAGCCTGGCGAGCACTGGAGTGGGAGTCCGGGGGGGGGTCTCTCCAGCCAGGCCTGCAGGGGACCTGGGCCGCCCCTCCCAGCCGGGGCGCCTCATCTACTGTGTGATTCGGGGGTCATTCCAGAAGGTTCTGTGGTCCTCCCTGGAGGCCCCGGGAGGCTGGCAGGCAGAGGCCCCTGTTCACACAGCGTGTCTGGGAGGAGGGGAGGCAGGGATCCGAGGCCCAGGCAAGCTCTTCGTTCCCGGAGTCTCCCCTACACAGTTGAAGGGTGGAAATGACTGAAATTCCCCTCCATGGTCACACTTCCCTCCTTTCAGGGGCCTCTGTTCCTGCCCCGCAGTTAGCCCCAGGGTGAAGCAACCTAGGGATGGGAGGCCAGCGAGGACCCCCTCTGTTCTGATGGACCCTAAGGGGAAAGGAGGGCAGTGTCGCCGAATGGTTTGGGCTTGACCGCTCAGCTGATGTGGGTCTGAGCCCCAGGGCTGCTGTTTCCCAGCTCTGTGAGCCTGAGCAAGTGACCCAAGCTCTCTGGGCCCCAGCGTCCCCATCTGGAAGGTGGGCCCCAGAGCCACCCGCCTGACAGGATGGCTCCAGGGAGTGAAGTCACACCGTGTGGGTTGCTCCTGGTGGCCGCAGCATTCACGGGCCCAGCACACTCCCGGGCAGGTATTATTAGCATCTCTGTTTTGCAGGCAGGGAAACTGAGGTTCATGTGACTTGTAATTGGCAGAGCTGGGACTAGAACCCCCCCCTTCTTGGCTTCCTTTTCTCTGACACCACAGATGGTGCGCTGAGAAAAAAGGGAAAGGAGAGCCGGGAGCTGGGAATTAGGAGACCGAGCGAGATGGAGGGAGGCAGCGCACTGTGATCAATTCCTTGGGCTATAAATTTCTGCTGTTTTGCAAAGTGAACACACAGCCTCGGAGAAGCATCGCTTGCTGGGTCTGCTTGGGAAAAACCAAACAGCCAAGCTTCCGATGGTGGGGACGCAGAGGGAGAGGGGCTGAGCCCTAGGACAGGCGCAGAGCGGCTGCTGGGGGGGGGCAGAGTCAAGGATCCTGGACGGGAGCAAAGGAGGGGAGGGAGGGGCCCTAGTGGGGGTGGCCTGGGAGCTGCCTGGAGGCCTAGGAGCCCCCTGGGGAGGGAGCTCATCTTCCTCTCCTCCCAGGAGCTTTCCCCCCACTGCTGCCAGTGGTCCACGCAGCCCTGTCTACAACACGCCCGCCTGGCCAGACCCCGCCGCTGCCTTCAGGAGCGGTCCTGGGGCCTGCTGGCGAGGGGCTCCCCGAACTTCAGCTCCATCTGTAAAATGGGGGTGATGAAGGCATCCGCCTCCAAGAGGTGGCGTCGGGGATCAGAAAGATGTAGGATGTGAATGGCTCCGCCCGGGGCCTGGCGCACACCCGAGGCTGTTATTATTAATGTTTTTATTTATTATGTGAAGGGAACTGAGGGCAAAAGGGTTTGTAAAGGGCTAAAGGTAGATTGGAGTCCAATGGAATTATTTAAAAGGGGGGCCAGTCCTCCCTCTGCGAGACAGTGTGGAAAGCCTGCCCGCAGTGGGGACATCAGGGGCTGGGCCTGCCTCTCAGTCCCCCAGCATTAGGGGCCGGGAGCAAGGACCAGGGTACAATTGGAGATTCGGAAACGGCCAGAGCGAGGCAGCCCAGGCTCCTAGCCCCCGCCCCGGGAGCCTTGCTATATAGCCCATTGAGGAAGGAGCCACAGGGCAGAGGCCAGCTTCTGCCCCTGGAGTCCAGGAACCCCGGAAAACGGGATTCTGAGAATAACCCTCAGGGCATCTGCACTGTGGAATCAAAGGCCACAGCATTCCAGAAGCAGCCTGTGTGCTCGTCTGCCGGGCTCGAGGAAATTCAGCAGCGAGCCAGCCCCGGACCCTGGCTTCAAGGAACTATTTGTCAGAAAGAAAAGCACAGATATGGCTCACCCAGATCTCTGGGGTTGGGACCCCAGACAACAGTCAAAGTAATTGTGGGGGGTAGTGGGGGCCAGGATGGAACAAGAAAGCCACACACTACAGATACAATGAAATGAGGGGAGCTGCGGTGGAAGGGCCAGAGGGCAAGGGGTGAAGCTGTAAATCGGGGTTCCTTTAAAACAAAAAGAAGCTCCCCTGGATGCGGCTAATAAAAATATTATTTTAGTTAGGATGGGCTAATGGCTTTATCAAACAGCCCTCAAAGAAAAGTGTATTTCTTGCTCATGGTACAGTCAGTCTACTTTGGGCTGGGGGGTGCGGGACCAGGTCCCGCTCCACCCAGTCACTCAGGGGCCCAGACTCCTTCATCTTGTGGCTCCCTCATCTTCTAGGGCCTTTTCCGCCTCTGCAGGAATCTTGTGGAAGGGGAAAGAGAGAGTGAAAGATGGCATGGAAGGAATTTATGAAGGAGGCTAGGACAGGAGGCCCATCACTTCAGCTCACATTCCATTGGCCAGAGCACTGTCATGTGACCATGCCTAACTGCAAGGGAGGCTGGGAAATGTAGTCCAGCTGCATGCCCAAGGGGAAACTAATGAACCAAGGTTTGGTAAAAACGTAGGCATCTCCACCACAGATACTGTTCTCTTTGAGTGGATGAGCTGACGCTCACAAAGCACCCGGTATAGGGCCTGCCACTGGCGTGTGTGCCAAAGCTGGTCATCTGTCCTGGAAACCCAGAGGCGGCTCACCTGAGGGCCACCAGGGCAGCCATCTGAAGGCTGTTCCTAGCCATCCTCCTGAAACTGTGCATGAACATGTGTGTGTGAGAGAGAGAGACACAGAGAGAGAGGAGATACATGGGTGGAGAGATGTTTCTGGCCTAAGGAGAGCATCCAAAGCCTTCACCAGATTCTCAAAAATTTGGGGGACAATGGCTTAAAGAGGGGTGGACCACTGCCCACTTAACGCAAGAGCTTAGCTGTGCCAAGGCAACTCAGCAAGGCCTTGGTACAGAGCACCTTGATCCTTAGGGCCCCACTGCCTGCAGCAGGAGGTGGAACTACGGATTCCCATCTCCCCTCCCCCACGAAACACATCCCAGAGACCTCTAGTCAGGGCAGGGAAGGCCCCAGCTGGTCCATGACAGTCCCAGTCCCTACAATGAACAAAGCAGCCACGAGGTCCTGAAGTGTCAGCCCGGGAGGCCCTCTGAGGCATGCAGGTGGGGAAACTGAGGCCCAGAGAGGGGCCATCTCGCCTAGGGCCACACAGCGAACTTGGCAGAGCCAGGATTCACATTCAAACTGAGTTACTCAGATCTGAGCAACAGAAAAGGGCTTCATCCCCAGACTGAGGGGAGAGCAGGCAGGCCCAGCAGGGACACTGCCAGGGCACCTTGGAGAGCGGGGGACACTCGGTTACTACCCTCAGGGACTGGCCACCAGGATGAGAAACGAATGCCCGTCCTCAGGGAAAGGGGTTGGCAACTCAGCCAGGGCCATAGGCCCATCCCGTGGCGAGGAAGGACCGCGGCCTCTGGACTGGCAGCCCACTCCTCAGGCGCGCAAGGGGCAAATTCCCCGTGAGGCAACTGGGGAGCTTTTGCAAGATGGGGGGCGGGTGCTGGGCCAGCCAACACGGCACAGCAGATGTCCGCGCTGGCCTCCTGCTCCAGGGTTGTGCAATCGAAACAAAACAACCACGGGGCCGGTTTCCTGTAGCCTAGAGCCACTGCCTAACCAGGGAAGCCAGCCCAGAGCACAGCCACGAGGCCAGGAAAACACAGGCGCTCAGCAGACCTGTGCTCCAGGCTCTGCCGGTTCCCCCAGGAGGCCAGCAGGCAGCCGAGGCCTCCACACCAGGCTGGGCTCACGTGGGGCCTGCCAGGCAGGTTAATGGAGATTTCACAAGCCAGGGACACCCAGGCCAAGCCTGGGTCCAGGAGAGACGGCACTGCAGGGGTGCTGGAGGGCTGCTGGCTGAGAGTGGGTGCTGGAGCCTGGAGGAGCGAGCAGCCATAGACAGAGGAGGGCTGGTGTGCCGGGGAGTGTCAGCGTGGCGAGGATACAGTCCCCATGACGACAACCTCTCTGAGTGAGGTGGAGGGGCGATTATCCCCATCAGCCCATTTCACAGGGGGGGAGACTGAGGCACTCAGAGGTTAACTTCTTACCCAAGGCCCCAAAGCCAGCAAACAGGGGAGGCCAGCCCCACCTCACTCATTGCAAAACTGTTCGGAACAAACCTCCCCCAAGAGGCCTCCCCTCCCTTGGGTATCATCTAAAAACCCCAAGTCAGGAGGATCCTCTGTCTTCTTCACACACATGCCAACACCCTGCCCCACCCCCTCTC